AGACATCATGGAGTGTATACAACTGCGCCTTTATGACCAACTTTCAGCCATGTTACCAACAATCAGTCCTTAACTACTGATTCCTGTAGTCTTGCGGATTGCAACCAGGTAGTCTGCATCTTCCTATACAACTCAGATAAACATTCAGGGACTTCATGAATTGGTGTAACATTTTAGTCTTACCAGTGTGAACCCTCTTCCAACGTAATCCAACTCCCTCCACGTGCAAGCCACTTCAACTGATGATTAATTTTTATTGTAAAGAAGTCCTGTTCAACAGCTAACAATTAAAAATGCTATTTTGACCTCAACTTGTCATTAGAAACTACTAAACTGATCACAAAAATCACCATAAGTATCCTTTACTACAAGGCAAAAGGAGATGATCCGACTAACAGTATGACATTAGTTTAAAAGGCGAGTTATCAAACTTCCTGTTGATCCAAGGATGGCTATTACACACTGGTCACCCTAAAAGAAGAAGTGCCAGGAGAGTTATGTTTGATGAAGAAGCCACAAAAACTTGAAACAAGTGAGTAAAATCCCCAAACTTCATAACAATGTCTTGTATGAGTATCCTATTTATATATAAGCCCACAGTTGTAAAGTGATTCATTTAGTAATGCGGATACAGATGAACCATTTAAGACATCATAACGCTTCACTTTCTAAAAATATTCTAGTAATATTGCATCTGTCTACTTGTATTCAGTCTTCGGTTATCTTCGACAAGGATAGTGAATATGCACATTACAGTTGTATTACAATGTCTGGAAAGGCTAAATCACTTTACTTTCAGAATAAAAACAAGCAAACTCTTTGGTAAAAAAATATGATTATTTACACTGGATGATCGTCAAAAGTGAAATGGAAATCTGGGTCTTGACAGGATTCAAGTCAGCAACCTCCTGGTTTCTGATTCCATGCTCTACCAGCTGATCAATGAAACCCAACTACGGAATGATTTTGATTGAGATGAGAAATCATGACTGGGGAGCCAGTAGGATTACGATCAACCAATAGTAATATGTCATGAATTCATATAACAGTCGTGGAAAACGCTTGGCGATTGAAGTGACATTGAAATCTGGCCAGCAACTAGGTCTCTTAGTTCCATTGATAGAGCACCGTACCGGTAACTTAGAGGTTTGTGATTCAAGTCCTTCAGCGACTCAGATTTTTATTTCACCTTCAGTCATCACCCAGTATTAATACAAATAGACCAAACTCCGGCTCTATCAGATAGTCAAACTGATATGATAATTTCGCAAAGTCCCTTTGATCTAATTAGCATAATATGAATACAGTATTTAATTGAATTGGTGCTTTCCATTATATATTCAATTATCAACTAGTGACAAATATTATTTATAAATTACCACTGAGGTAAATGGAAGCCATCTAACACCAAACACACTGCACAATGCCTAAAAGTTCATTATTTTTTTAATAACTGAATTTGTTAATAAAAATAACTTTAGATGTAATCGCAGCTATGCAGACGTAGAAGCATACTGATTACAGATATGTGAAGGAGTTACTTAACAACTCTATTGTATGTTGAATAGTATTTCAAATTGTGAGATAATCCATTTTGTTGACCATAATTTCTTTTGGTAAATAATTGAAGTTCATAGTAATTCAAATTTTTTCATATTTTCTTCAGAATTTTATAGAAGTGTACATTCAACGAATATTTTAAGAACATTCTATGGAAATAAATAACTTTCCGAAGTTAACCCCTCATTAATATTGGGCACAGACTTTTGTAATTTCACTGGACTAGTTTAGCTGCGAACTTGTTTCTTCCTAGTCTGGAATATTTCAGTAATACACACCTATGGTTGCATAGGGGATGAAATCTCGAACTGTCGAGTTTTGAGATGAACATCTAACCGTTTACCTAACTGCATTCACCTAATGTTTCATAATTATTAAGTTCTGTTAATTTATAATGTAGCCTGACCATCATTTACTATCACTTTTAAATGATATGGGTGAAGAAAATGTCTCGAAACTAATGAATTCCGTCGTAATGCAAAGACAGTTGATATGCACATAGAAACCTTTCACACGTCCATGCGGTAGGCTAATGATACTACCTGGCTCCTTAAACCTTGGTAGATAGAATAATGTTTGAACTCGCGACCCACTAGCTAGAAGTCATCTTTCTAAACCAATGAGCCACAGTTCTACAATGAATTCTCAATAAAAAAAGCCAGCTCAATCGACTTTGATATCATAACTATTCAGCCTTATCCTTTAGTTATCTTTAGTTAGGTTCTAAGTAGGTGTAAATTATTTACCAGAACTAGTGATGTTCTCCACAAAGCAAATTAGAGTAAATAATTAAACTAAACTTCGAAATCATATTAGAACAGTGGGAAGTGATTGGAAGTTTTCAAAACTTGTTAATCCCTACCTGTTTGTTTGTATAAAGAATAATTCCGTATGAATCACAGTCACCTTTCTTTACTTTAGACAAAAGCTTAGGCACCAGGTTGGTACCACTTAGACTGGTTTGATGTAAGATAACTGATGAAAACCTAAACTTGAGTCCTATTCTTCCTGGTAAGCATTATGTTGCCTTCTTCGGTTGATAAACGATATCCTTGATGTTTCAAATATTAGATCCTCCCCCATAAAGTTTATGGATTAATACGCTTACCACTGAGCTATTTACTAAGTGTAACCACCGAGCTAACGAGCAACCATCTCCCACTAATGATGGAGCATTGCATTTTCCAGACAGCTAGCCTTGTGGACACAATGTAAATCTGACCAACAAAGTTGGTCACCAAAGAAAACTTGAAAACATGATATTATCTGGGTTCTACCAGTCGCTCAGCCTATTTTCCTTAAGAATAAAGCACAAATTTTCAATGAAAGCACTTGTTGCTATACCTCAGTATACACAGAGAAGAACAAGTATATCTGTAATCCTAACTCCCGTCAACTATCCAATGTCTGTTATTCCCACAAGTTGCTTTCAGTGAGAAATAAATTTTTAAATAGATACAAAGCCAAGAATGATAACGTAACCAGAGGTCCCCTAGTAGATAGTTCGGAACCAAATACTATAAAATTTTAATATGAGCTGGATGCAAGACGTTAAGAGAGTAAATAACTGTGTAAGAGGTTCAAAGAACTGAGAAACATTTGTTAATAATGTTTCCGAGAGCTATTAACTAGACTTAACTGAACTTATAAGGAGGTTGCAGATAACTAGTATATTATTTATTATTATTATTACTATTATTATTATTTGTCCCTTGGGTCCCAAGTGGGACACGTCGCCATTTCACTCCGTTCTCCGCAGTCTTCTTAACCTGGCTACACGACTGCCCATAACCTTTTATTTCTTCTTCACACCGTCTCCTCTATGTCAACCTCGGATGCTCAACCCGTCGTTTCCCCTTTGTGTTCTATTCGACGGCCTGATGCGTGATGTCGTCAGTGGGTTTTCTCAGTGTATGCCCATTCCATCTCCACTTTCTTCTGCATATCTGTTGAGTGATAGTTTCTTGGTCAGTTGGTTCGTTGCCACGCCAGACTTCCTTGTTGGTTGTTCTTTCCGGCCATCTATCTCATCTTCACTGTCGAGTGAGCGTAGGTGGCAGCTGTTACCTCAAGCATGCCTGAAATTTGTTGGAAATGCCTTTAGTAGGGCGCCAAGTTTCTCAACCATATAGAAGCAATGACCTAACATTAATGTTGAAAATCTGAATCTTGTTCTTTATGCTGAGTGCAGAAGATCTCCACACTGATTTCAGACTGGTGCAGGAAGGCCTGTCTTGCTTTTCCGATCCTGGCTTTGACATCCTCATATACGCCGTCTGCTTTTGAAACGATACTGCCTATTATTCTATTACTCTATGTAACAAAGTTTTCATAAAAGAGATATGTGTGGCTGCTTCAAACAGCAACAAGAGTATGAAAAACTTTATGAGAATACACTCATCTAAATCAAAATTAGCTGAAATGGTCACTTGAAACATTATGCTTAAAAATTGTTGTGAACCTCCCAAGAATTGGCAAGGAAGCTAGTAATTATAGTAGTTTTAGTCAACGTAATCTGATAAAATGATAATAGCATCTGCGTACCAGTGTGATTTTATAATATTGACCATTGAGATACTTGGTGAAAACAGGGATACTTCGGCTAATTTGTAAGCCACATATCACAGTGGCAAAAAATCTAGAACTCACAATTTTCCAAGTAGCCAGATTGTGAAATATATATACGATCCAAAACATAATACATTACACATATTTTTCAGAAACTCTGCCAGCCCGTTTTAGACTCTAGGGTATCTAGTCCAATAGAAAGTTTTGATGCGTGAATTTTATCCATTCTCTGTGGCAGTTACCAAAACATGGTTTATTCATGGTATGAAAAAGAACCAATAACACTGTTAGGACATGGTTCTCTATATATTAACAGAGTGTAGGAGTACTTTTGGGGGGGCACAACCTCTATTGCTGGTGCTCTGTGTTTTGAAATTCGAACTACAATAAAAGTCACTACGTATATGAGCATACAACAATACATAATATGATATAGAGAAGCATGCAGGAAACAACAACTCGACAGGGATAACGAACTTGACCAGTAATCAGAAAACAAGACAAATCATGTTTTCAAGCATAAAGACTGAAATTAACACTGTGCGTATTAGAAATTAAATTCTGGTATGAAAGCGTTGCAACTGAGATGCAAACTAACAGATAGCCAACCGAAGTATAACGTGCAGAAAAGCACTTCCCCGCACCCTTCAGGGAATTCGCGTATCACAGCAACTTACTGGGGTATCAAATACCATTATTATTCTACTAAATAGGTCATAAGCACAGTTGAAACCATTATGAGAAAAATCTAAGCTCCGGGTAAATTTGGATGCCTGACGATGTTTCTAAGTTATGAACACTATATGTTGGATGAAATACAAGGCCTTAATATTCATCGTAAGGGCGGGCATATATATGGATCAATCTCTTACCTAAAACGTCAATATTTATGGTTTTTTGAGTCTTCGGTCCATGTGCACAAGACCAATCCCCTCTATCTTCGTATTTTACAGATGATATGTAGATCTCATAGACATCATTGAGTCTGTTGCATATATAACGGTGATTTTCAGTGTAGAACTGACAGTTTTCTGCTATATCTTTGCCATTATGACTCCATATAATAGGAAATATTTGATTTGTAGTAGAGCAAGATAGTTTAAGGTAGGATCCAGATAAAGAAATATTTGATGGCAATGCAGTGAACGATAAGCTGGCACACAACGGCGCCACGATGCTGCAAACAATGAAGCACAAGTTTAACGATAACATGTTCAAAAGTTGAAATGTGACGAAATCATCTTGGTCAAAACACTGAAGGTCACCTGCTTCAAAAAAACAAGAGTGAAGGTTATTTGACATGGTCAAACATATATAAATAATGATTACCCCAATACCTATACTCGCATAAAGCGAACAGAATTCTTTGATCATCAAAAGATCAAAATTGAAGAGAAAAAAAGTTTCTCACGAAATAATCTAGTTCTGATGATACATTGTCGACGCAGTAACATTATATAACATATAACACATATACGTTACTGTCATTAAAATTCTAAACCTTCCTTTCGTTCCATTTTAGAATACACTATCGCTTCATCTTTGAAATCGAGTCGGAGAACCCCAGCACATCATTCAGTGTAGCCTAAACAGCATCATCGGGTTTCTGCATTCCACCCCCTTTGGGGTATGGCTATAAGCTGAGGTGTAGTTGAATTAGTGTTGATCTGCTAACTCTGCACTCGGGTATTAACTACAGATACTGACTCACACAGCCAGACAGGGAAATGAGACCCCAGTAACCTGTAAAATATCCCACCTTAGCGTGAAAATTATAAGTCGTTAGCTGTGACTGACCGTTGACCAACTCGTTACTATCAGTGCAGTGGAATACGGATCAGTCATCGAACTTTGACATTTCACCTGTTATCGATTAGAACGGTATGTATCAGAACACCCATCCACTCAGAGTGAGCAGTTACACTTTATCATACCACTCATTTTTAGACAAGCATCAGTCAGATTATGTTTGACAGAGGATACTTGAAAACCCTTTGGCAGCGCATATTCTCAGGTGCTAACCAGCAGTTTCGTTTCTGAATGAACTTCATGAGTATTTCTCGCATCCACACAGCTCACACCCGTACTCCGAAACTTCCATACGCATTTTCTAGCAACCCACTACAAATTACCCCTATTGTGACAACGTATCAACATAAACGGTCGATGGTCTGCGACCAGAAATGAGGCTGGAAATCGCCGAAAATAGTAGAATGATTCTTTTAGTGGTTGTAACCAGCTGTTAATGACTCAACTGAGGAAATGTATTATAGGGGCTCAAAGAGAGAAAACGACCACTGCAGATTGAATCTAGGCCCTGTCATTTATGAGACAAAATCACCGTCTCTAATCGAAAAATGATAGTCAAATTGGATTTTGATTGAAGTGCCCAGCTTCTTCATAGAATCATTCGTCTCGTGAGTTACTTTTGTCTACTGACACAGAGATATCAGATTACAATGGTCATATGGGCTTGGGTCTAACGATAAGCCTTTGCTGGGCTGCTGAAGGATAACGAAAAGGGAGGACGTCCAGGCAATCCTTACAGACTTTTAACAGACCACTTAAGAGGTTGTTTCATGTTAACGCAAACGTTTACCTTGCCCACATTATTATACGTATGGACCTTCGGTTCATAATCTGGGTTCCATGCTAGGTTTGTTCGGTTGATGTACCACGAGACCAGCCACGTCGATCTGCCATCGTCGAGATCATATGGTTTTTGCTGACACTGTGTTGAACACCAAGAATCTATAGGCAGAGCTTATTTATTGGTGTTGAGCATCCTTTGATGCAGTGGGTTCCATGTTTACTGTGAAGGCATGGAGCCTTGGAACGTTCAACACAGAACGGCAGTCAAGCAAGTGACCCCTGGAGGAGGGATCGCAGCAGGGTCCAAAATCTACGTAGATAGCACTGAGATGGGTAACATAAGCTATGCTCGCAGCTATTCGTCACAGTGTATAAGTGATGTGTGGGCACAGTTTCTGACTCCTCCTAAATACATAGCCCTAAATTTGCACCCTCAAAAAAGTGACGAGGGCTAGGAACGAGTTTTGGAATACCAGAGTAGCACAAGTGGCCGTGATCGAACTGGCTTGATTTTTGGTTGAGGTTAACAGCCTTCTTTCGCAACGCTAAGTAGATTTTTCGTGGGGAGGGCCACGTTTGCGCTTGTCCTATGGGATCAGGAGAAGGGGGTTTCGGCGGAGAGCGAACCCAGCACAAGATATTACAAGTAGGTCTCTGCACATCGCAGCTCCGGATGGTGACTCTGACCCCTCTCGAAAGGACTCCTCATAGATAGCAATCTTTTGACAGCAAACCATTTCTGGCACCTTGGAATTCATATGACTTCAACCCACTAATCGCTTCACCAACATACATTAACGATCTCACTATGGTGCAGCGCATGCAAGTAAGTTGTTTTTGATGTGACAATCACTTCCGATACATCTTTTCCGAACTTGGCCCATTCGCCATGTGGTGTAATTTGTCAGGTAATCGACCAGAATACCTCCCATGTATACAATTGTTGAAGACGAGGATCTGAGTACAACAAAACGTAATTGAGTGAACGTATTGCACCTCCGTTTAGCGATTCCAATAAACATGTGTGTGGCTACACTGACCGGCGACCCCTTCTGTAATGCTCATTGATGCCGGTTTCCTCCAGTAATTCACGGAAAGAACGCGAACCTTGCGTGAAATACTAGGTATGATCTCGCGTTTGGGAGGGTCCTCGTGTGCGCATGCATGCAGTCCTTAACAATTTTCGCCATGCACCCCGCTGAATGTGTCTATACTTCCATCTTCCGTCACGTCTCGTGCCTGCCAAAGTAGAGAACTCCTTCCATTTCCCACACAACCACAAGGACGCCGGCGTAATGCACCCCACACCCTTTTCAACTGTGGCCCCGCCTATTTGATCCCCATTTAGCAGCCCGCCAAAAGAAGATAACACAGGAAATAAACCGGAGCTACCGCAAATCAAGCAACACTAGAAGCATGCCACAACTACTTGATCGAGCCTGACATGCTGAGATGATATTCGAATCCGTTAGGCTGCACATAAGTTGCAAAAGGCCTGAACATGATAAGCATTACCATTTAATTTGCCACAAAGTGTTCTATTAGTCAATCAGGCTGAGTAAGGTAGGAGCAGGTTGTTGCAGAATTATTTCCTACGTGTAGGGCTCATACATGGAATACAGATCAGCGTACAAGTGAAGTCTTCTGACAGTGCGCTTTATTTCGTCTTCATTCTTTTGGTGCATAATCCTGACATTTCTCAGCAAAGAAATCGTCTTAGTGTCAAGCATCCGAACTTTCCTCCATCAAGCTTCCAAGTGAAAACTGCTTTTAAGCATCTTTCACCCACTTTCCACCTTTCATCTCCACACCAACTGTTCTCACGTACCTCTCTCCAGTGACATGTACATTTTCTACCACATCTAAAGACTGACAATCTACACCACATTTGCCGACTATCAACGATGAATCTCCAATTAGTTAACTTCCGGAGTTTTCCCCTATTTATTCTGGTTCGCAAAGCTAGCATATTTTCTCACAAAAATGACTTCCAAAAGTATCCTCCAGTAGTCATGGCCGTCTCTAGATTATGAGAATAAGCCTGATCGACTTATTCAGTACTCCAGGTCGGGGTAGCTTCCTGAAAGCAACCAATCTTCAAGAACAAATACGATGAAATCCTAAGAATAATCTCCTACAACCTCGAGCCCTTGACCCTTCAGAGCACTTTGTCCATGAATTAAAAATGACTATGTGGTTTCAACATTCGGCTCTGCCTTTGTTCCTCGGAGTCAGAAGATCGAGATCTTTGACGGACGAACGGCAGTGGAAAAATGTGGGACCCTAGGCTTCGAACTTCTAGTATAATGGAACCGCAATCACTGACAAACATGAAGGTTCTGTGATATGCTTCTCTTATGGTCGTGGACGTCCACCGTACACAGATTTCATGAGAGTAAAAATAACTGTCAAGTGCTCTGACGTCCTAATCATTTTATCTATTCATAATATTTATTAAGGACAGCTATCTTCAGGTTCAGGATATTCCGATAGCCACAAAATAGAGCATACTCAGGCAAACGTGAGTCACATGCATCGAGAAAGACTTTGCAAAGTTCAAAAGAAAATGCACTGAGCAAACAAGTAAACCTTTTATATTATTGGGACACACTCGGAAATAACCCCAGGTGGCAACCACAACATGGATTGAATATATTTGCTACCCAACGAACAACAAATTTTATTGACGGACGATTTATTGCAGCCCTCATGTTTGGCTGAACTACTTGGTGTCTGCCAAATGGATATAAAATAAGACGTTGAAGCACGATGGAAAAATATACCAATATCCAGTCGAAACTACAGAAGAACCTACAGTAGTTTCCTCGTCCGTTTAAAAAGTCGTTACATGAAGATTCCTTTGACGACGTATAAAAGAAAGATGATGAACTTAAGCAGTAAAAACCACGTGACTTCAACCTAGGGACTGAGCGTTTATGACGCACCCTGGAAACGCTAGCTTGAAATCGAACCCAGTCTGAAAATCACACTTTTGGTCACCTGATTTTTCATGGAGTCCACCAGTAGTGACTTTCAGTCAGAGCCTCCAGGGGATGTCGGGGTTCTTTGATGAACTCAGGATGCATTGCTTATTGTGGCATCTTTCTTACTGAATACGGTGAACGTCCATGACAATGAGAGAAACACCACGAAACCATCATCTGCGCAACACAATAAGCCGCGTCCAACTTTAACGTTAATTAAGCATCGAAAAAGTTCAAATAATACACCAGGATCAATCTACCGGCTTCAGACGGATTTATGTCGATATGAGAGGTTTCAGTTACTCCACCACCTGAGCCTGATTCCAGATAGGGTTTAAGTGAGTCTTCGAGTGGTTTCGGCTCCTCTATTAAATCTAAATCTAGGAGGTCTAGAGACGGGCTGATACAGACACAGTCAGATACAGTGCTGTTCCTGATATGACGCCTCCATAGACAAAATCACAGTGAATACCACCAATAATACGCGGCTGACCGTCTGAGGCACTGCGGGAAACCCGAGAAACTGGATGGATTTTTGGCTCGCCAGCTCACTGCTGTGTTTGCTTGCCGGTAATCTCCATATCTGAAGTTGCTCCAGGTCACAAGGGAACCCGCCATCCACTGGTTATTGTGTAT